CTTGCATGCCACCGGTTGAGAATCGCTGCACTAGCCAGAAGCACTAACCACTGTACAGAAAGCAAATAATTAAGAACAGGATGTTTCACAGTACTGTTCTGTTACCAGGACCTGAGTCTTCACTAAATGTTTTGCTAAACTCACCAAGAGATTGGTTCATATGAAGTCCCCAATTTTTACTTCTAAAGTTGTTACAATGTTAACTTTTTCAAGAAAAAGTAAAAGGAATGTCAGTTAATCTTTGGGTTATGGTAACTTAATGATTTTTTGGCAAAAATTTGGCGACCAACCCTGCTACAGCAACCTCCTAGTTTTTGTTTGGACGGCATTTTGTTTTCACGAAGTAAAGGCATTTTTTTTTTTTTTTTTTTTTTACTCAATATTTTTTTCCAACAATCTGCTAGCCGAATTACGCTTATGCTAAAACTTTTATGAAACAAAAGTGCTTAATCATGACAAAGATTAGGTGCGAAATTGGGAGAAAGTGCAAATCGCCCACTGCTTGCCGCGTTTTTAAGAATTGCACATACACGGTATCATCCATGTACACATCGACCTAATTTTCACTTAAAAAAACATCCCAGAATTGCACAAAAATGGCATTGTGCACACTCTTGACTTTATCCATGTACACTGCTAAAGTCCTAGCTAGTAACCTTTATCACCTTACTAAAATGTCGCCAAACTACCTGTTACCATATTCCAAAGATTAGCCGGAATGTCTTTTCAAAACTGGCAATGAGGATCCAAATTCCAAATATGTAACGGTCATTTGTGTTTTTATTAGTATTTACCATGAATTTGAAAATCTACATCTGCCTAATGATGAAACAACTTCCATACAATTTCTTCAGAAACAAGAAATTATTCAGTCTGAAGCTCACTAAAAACCTTAAAATGATTTTTTTTCTCATTTCTTTGGAAATTTTAACACTAAAATTTCTAATTTTACAAATATTTCTTGTTATTTTTTCCCATGGATTTTTCTTCAACCTAACCGTCTCGTAAATATTTTGGCGATTAATTTTATGCCTCGAATTTTTTGCCAGATTGTCAGCTTTGAGTCATATCTGAATCGGGTCCTGATAACAGAACAGTACCTGTTTTACTATATTAATTGCACACTTTTGTTAAAATCTAGCACTTCTTAAAAATATGTATTTTTCAAGATATACCCTTTAAGATTTTATAAAGTCACCATTTTATTTTGACTGAAAATTCTTCCTTATATATATATATATAAGAGATAGAGTAGTAGTTTACTTATCCTGGTACAGTTTACTTATCCAAAACATCAGAATCAGGTCATTTTATTTATGGTTGCAACAGTGATTGTTCATAGAAAGGATGTTTTTGTTTTCTATACAACATTTAAAAAAAAAAAAAAAAAAAAACTGAATAACTCTACACAGCATAAGTATAATGCTGATGGGGAAATCATGGAATAATCCATTCTGTAATGAATTAAGGGGCAAGCAACCTGTTTTTGGTTATGCAGTTAAAAATTGTGAGAAGACTGCAGGAACAAATGCACTGCAACTTCCCATTACACAGTTTTCATATAGTTTTCTGCATCATAGCATACTGAAGAACTTCGGAAAAGCATATTTGCTTGCCGGGAGAATTTCTATACGCATCCCCTCTGATGACAGGTTTCAAGCATTTAAAATAATTGGCTGTATGGCACCTACAGAAATCCAGATACCAAGGATCATTTTGGTCTCCTTGTGAAGTTTCTTTTACGGAAAGTATGTTTATACTGCTATCTATAAAGGTTGCTTTGCTCATGAATTGCTGCTCTGCAATCCTCACTTTTTTATTCCCTACCTTTTTATCTTATACTTCATTTCAAAAAATAAATATTTAAAATTTTGTCAACTTTTTCAAAATTACAGAATATTTTCAGAACTTTACTAAATACCTGTAGCCCAAGCCTATGTGATCCATGCCTAAATCTAAATGTGCTTAATGCTAAATCTAAATATGCTTACTATTAGAATGAATGCCTTATTTTGTTTCTGAACTATTAAGACTTACTCCCTTTTGTATGGCTGCAAAGGTACTTCATGTTTGTTGGTAATGTGATTTATTTCTAAGGTTTGCTTACAATTCAAACTGCATTAAAGAAATTAATTCTTACTTGATTAATTATGCTACTATTATGTTTGATCGATTAATTATGCTATGAGTACAACTTCCCGCAGATAATAATTTCAATTTATTTCTATTTCATTGCCCATATTCAGCTGATCTTATCATGCCCATTTATCACGTGTATTTTTTTAATAGAGGATCCTATAACTTTCAAAAGAATCTACTTGCTATTCTGTAGCAATTCTTGCTATACTGCTTGCTATTCTGTAGAAGGCAGTCCCGAATATTTTTTCTTTCAACATGCAAGGTAAAAAATAGAGCAATAAAAGTTACCTTATATCCTTGTTCATAAAAACAAAAGATGGCTTATCGAGAACCAATCAGGGTTACATGAAATAAAAGTGCCAAAATAAAAGTGCCAATGTTACAGGTATGTTGTTACATCACGCTTACCCATAGCTGATGCTAAATTGTGCTGCTTTGTGACAGTTTCATGGTTGATAAGATAATACATAAGTACCAAAAAATATTCTGCAGTGTCTAAATCTTGAACTTTTCAATTTCCCTCTTTCTGAGTTTGAATTAACCCTTTAATGCTTGTAGTTGCCATTTGGCAACGCACTCAAATTTAGTCATGTAGATCAAATCAAAACACAAATTTTAGTTTACCGCATAGAGCAAAGGACTGTTTATGTATAGTTTTGAAAGTTTCAGTGTGACGGCACTTCTAACGGTCATTATTGTAAATTGACGTGTGGACATTATTTGTATTTACAAATTTTTGATTTTGCATTTGTTATTTTGATGTATTGAAAGTTTTAAAAGTATTTGAACAAGTTTATAAGGTATATATTATTACATAAAATTGTATTACACATTTGGTATCAATTTGTTTTTAAAGTTAATAATATTTTTTCAAATTGGATAAAACTAGTTTATTTTTTTATAGTATTTTTATTTTATTTGATATAATTTTAATGTATTTTTGACTTTAAAAATAAAAATCCATGCATTTAAGGGTTAAATAAACAATTTTAACATTAGATTAAATAGAAGATCAATGAAATTTGACAAGTTGAAACTATTCAAAAATTTAAACTAACCACGTTCAAATATATTACACATAAATACGATTCTGATAAAGAGCTAAGCAATACTTTCAATATTAAATCATAATAACTAAAATAAAGATATACAGTTTCTCCGAAAAATTTTCGTAAGGATTTACAGGTATAAAACAAGATAAGTAAAAATTCTTAGCACAAATATTTTTACACCCACTTAATCGGAACATCAACATTTTTGATTTGAATAAATCCTCTCTTTTTCAACTGACCCAAAAAACATTACATGTGATATAAAATATAAAATTAACATCCCAAAATGCTTCATAAATATTTGAAAATAAAGAATAAATAAATATAATGCTTCCATATAAAGGTTAATATTTTACAGCCTTTTATTGTTCACATTAGTTGCCCAGTTGGTTTTAAGAATGATATCAATATTTTATCATTACTCATGGCACTTTCATCATATTTGCTTTCAGAATAGTTTTTTTGGATCTCCCCCTTTTAACACATAGCAGAGAAGTTACATGCAGTAAAGTTCTGCAGCATATTTTGAATTACTATGTTGGAATTTATAACTGGTATTTTAACACTCTGAGTGGCACAAGATTTTAGATCTGTCATGAAGACCAGTATTTAAACAGCATTTATTAATTTAGTTTGCATAATTACCTACTTCAGTCTGTATTTTCATAAACTTACATTCATTAAGATGATATTTACATTATTAAAGAAAGTAAGAAAGCACAATATCTTAAATTATAAGCTATTATATGGCAAGTAGCAAAACTTCAGATGACCGGATCAGAGGGTTAAATTGATGTTTATTTGCTTTTAAATTTCTCTTTACAACATTTAAACCGGCATTAGTTATCTTTTAGTTCATAAATAATTGCCAATGCTTTCCCGGTCATACAAATTCCACCCTAAAAGATATTCTCAAGTGCATTTAACAAATTTCTTTTTTCAAACGATTCTCATTTCATCAGATAAAATACATTACATTTACTTTTATTACTGTATACATTTTTCCAGAAATAAAGGATTTCTTTTACCTATTTTAGAAAAAAAAAATCCTATATTTCTATTCATAGGACTCTTACGAAGCTTCTTTCTAACAACACCAGGTATTTAATCCTTTCAATTCCATTTGCTTTTCCAGTCCCATTATTTTCCACTTTCTTCACACATAATTTTTTTTTTTTTCACTTTTCTTTAATGACACTCATTTAGCAGTCCCTCTCTGATTTCATCATTAGTTCATTCATAGGTAGCCTAACATATAAATTTCCATATAGCATCCTGAATTAAGTTATATGGTAAAACTCTAGCGAAATCATAAATACTATATGACCTCTCAACAAGTTTAGCCTCATTTGGCAATTTAACTTGCATTTTTTCAAATGTCAATATCTAAACCACATCAATAATCCATAATTGAACAACCTTCACATTTCAAAATCTAATGAATAACGTTACTGCATAGCTAAAAGCAGAATTTCCAGAATTCTACTAAAGTCTAGCATTTGCAAGAACATGATTTTGCTTCTATACATTTTTTTTTTTTTTTTAACTAAGTCAATGAATTCCATTTATTATAACTTAAGACAGAATTTAAAGAATTTTTTTCAAAAGAAATTTTAAATAATGGAACGCATCTAAAATAAAATTTTAAAAAAATAATAAATAAATAATTAAAAAAAAAAACCTTTAAACGAACCCCCCCTTTTTTTCTAATATTATGAATAATTTTAGGATGAGTAAACATTTGAAATTTTGGGAGACATTGTATATCCAGCGGTATATCAAGAAATTATAAATAAAAGCATTAATTACTTCATCAATAATCACAAAAGATCTGTTTTCTCTATTGCCATAAACACGAAATCCCCAAGGTTGTCCACCTTTTATGACTATTTCAATTCGTTCACCCATTTCTTTAGTTCAACATAACACAGTAACATAACAAGACAACATCCTCACTTAAAATGCATACTGGAACATGAAAGTATTCGCGGCTAACTACTAGTTGCATTTCCCCCCCCCCCGGACTGTCAGAATTCTTTCACCTGTTTATTCAAAACATTAAATGCTGCCAAACAAGAGCTACCTATTTTTCTCTATGACGCTTGCCTTCTAGCGCGTTTAATAACGTAAAATTATTTTTGTTCGCAACGGGATATTGCATTGTTTTAAAAAATGCTAATAATTCTAAAATTTTAATTTTATGAAGTTGGCACATTTCAAGGAAGAAAGGTTTTATTTCTACATGCTGTTAGCTTCCAAAAATAATCAAAGCTTCAAATTTAAATTTAAACTACTTTCCAACAGTTAAAACCAGCAAGTAAAGGCAATCAAATAACAATCGCGTAAAACCAGCAGTAAAATACAGCTGGGATCACCCAGGTAGCTTTAAGAGCAGGAGCCCATTAGGCTAAAAAGAGATCACCTCCAGGATTTCTTAGGTTTAGAACGAAATCGTTATCATGGACTTGCTGCTAAAATGAGTTCGATCACTTTGATTTCATAAATGCGCTAAATTTTCTTAAACACTCGATGGCCTTTGCAGAAAAACTTCATAATGTGTGTGAATCTTTTTTCATAGCTAATCCCGAAGTGGACTGTTCGGACTTACGTCAAAGGACTAATTAAGGATATGTAGGCGAAATTCAACAGTTTGAAAGGTAAGGGCGAAATTTATAAGACATGTAATAATTATATTGTTGATTCTAATGTAGTTAATGCTAATGTAGCTAATTCCAGTGATAAGAAAAGTTTTGTACTAGACAAAATGTTAGGAAAATGTGGATAATGTTAGGAAACCTGTTATTATTTCTATTTGTGCTAATAAACATGGTATATCTAAAGATGTGCTTTTTCTGATATTGTCAAATATGTAGCTAAATTTAACTCCTCCACTAAAACCACAGTCAGTTCGAAAAAAACACGTGCTCGGACGGTGTTAATTCTCCTAGAAAGACCGCCCAGCCACGCAAAATCTTTAAGAATAATGTGGATGGTTAAACATCTAACAAATATACAACTCTTGATAACAGTGAAAATAAAGGTAATATGAATGCTGTTTGTGCTGAAAATATTAGTGGCGAAAATTCTGAAAATGTCCCCCTGGACCGCGATTTACCCAAACAACAGTGAGGAACTAAATGTAGCTTTTTACTGGTAGAATTTCTAGAGAATTCTTGAAATTATTGCCACTTATAGTTAAAAAATGCTAATAATTTTTGGATACATAGTGTATCCAACATTATGTATTAAATGCCAAAAAATTAAAGCCAATGAAGGTAGTTTTACGAAGTCTGCCCTCCGACTGCACCACGGATAAAATTTGCTGACGGATTCAACATCATAAAACTTAATCAAATGCACATATTTAAAACTAAGTCTCCATTACCTCTATTTCAGGTTCACTTCGTAGAGACATTAGGTATACTTTTGGAAGCAGGAAGGACGAAAAATTAGCAACGCCTTCGCCGGGAATCGAACCGCGGACCTCTGGAATACCGGCCCCAGCGTGCAGAAACACTACACCACGAAGGCACGCTAGGAAGACGTGAGAAAATGCCTTATATACTTCCCCTTTTAAAGGGCGACTGGGGTTTTTAGAGGACCCAATCGCCAAATTTGGGTGCGGAGATTCATCATCCACAACCCTCTTTAGTTCGGGCGCCACTGTAGAGACATTAGGTAATTTCTGGAAGCCGGAGAGATGAAAAATTAGCAACCGCCGAACTACGGACCTCTGGAAAACGCGTCCAGCGTTCGGACCACCACACCACGAAGGCACGCTAGGAAAGCGGGAGAAATACCTTATAACTTAGCCAATGTTTCGGGAACTGGAAAAATTTATGATATCAGTAACTTTTTCGGTTTTGATGCTACAGTTGGACCGTATAAGTATAATAGTGGTATGGCTCAGTACCACAACTGTCAACATTTCTTCCACTCTTCGGACGATCGTAAACTGGCTCTAAGACAGGTTAAATGCGCTCTGCCTCGTAACAGTTCGGAATGCGAAGCAAAAATTTATTAATAAACTCACTTGTTGTAACTGTGGTGGAGAATATGATCCCAACTTTTGATTATGTCCAAAAAATGCCACTAATAGGAAAAACTAGATCCAAACCTACTAGATCCAAAGGTATTAATGAACTTTGATCTGAGCCACGTGGAGGGCATGTTTTCGTCCAGAATAAAGGAGGAACTAGTGATTCTGAAATACCTATCACTCCTAAGGGTTGCTCAGCAGGGAGCCAAATACAGATAAATCTAATAAAACCATTGATGTAAATGTCCGGACTTCATTGCCGCCGCTGAAAAGAGCAGATAAAGAAATAGAAATGCTAAAAAGAAAAATTCTGCAAATAACATCTCTGCAGCTTTTATAAATTTTATGGGGATCATTCGGTAAATAAATATAATTTTTAGTGACTATTCCATCTTCGATGTAATTAAAACAATCACTGGCCGTATGGATGATGTTCGAGCTATCCCCCACTTCTATGGACAAAATTTTTGTGAATTTTCCGCAGGACATATTTAGCGTAAGTTTATCTGGTGTATATGGAAACTAAGTAGGTGTGATACTGTGCTGAGAGTTTAGTATTTTCTTTGTGCATTTATTTTCAATCTGTGGGAATTTTTGTAGCTTTGTGTTTACTCGTAACTTAATGTATTTGTAGGTTTCTTTTGTATGTGTGTTTTCTTACTTTTAATATTACATGCATTATATTCTCGTAACTGCTTTTTTGCATACCATGCTTCGTAGTCTCAAGTCTTTATACAGCTAAGTCTAATTTCTAGAAGACGTTGAACACTGGTAGTTCGGTCCGAGGTTCGAATCCCGCGAACGGGCTGGCTGCATGGGCGTTTTCGTGGTTTTCCCCATGTGTAACGTGTATACGAGCCAGTTTCCCTTAGAAAGTCCTTCACGGAGGCATCCCTACCTTTAGGCAGATAGCCCTTGTGTGCTTTGCCATAATTAAATAATTCAATCCAATCCAATCCTAATTTCTAGACTTTTTTTGTTATTGTTATTATATATCTTCAGCTTCGGGATTTTTGTAATTACTGTTAGATTCTTCTTTTTTAGTTCGCCTTCATAAATTCGAAAGCGAATATTCTTCGATGGAGGTTAAACGAGTGCACCTAGGTACTCCGGTGTTCTATCAATCTACTCAACAGTAAGTGGAGCTTTAGTAATTTTTTTGGCATTACGGAATCGCAACATAAGTCACAGCTTTTGTTAATGGAATTAGTTTCATGTGCTCGTTAAATTTTATTTCGCTTTTGAAATTTTGAGTTTTTGGCCGAGGCTGTTTCTTTAGTTTTATGCAATGATTGCATTGATATTCAATTTTATCTAAATATGTGTGACAGCATTTTTCTTCCTTTTAGTGCAGCCGTTCATGATTCTTGGCCTCAAAGTTCCGTAAACGGCCTTTAATTTTGTAAATTCTCAATTTAGTCGTAATCCACTAGGAGTTGTCAGATAATTTATTGAATTTTAATCAGCACTCATGTAGGCTGACTGCAGCCAGGACAGTAATTCACTGACATTTAGATAGTAACATTTAGCAAAGTAGCCCTAGCAGAACAGTCTAAATAAAAATTTGGGGCAATAATAATTAATAATCATATATATGAAGCAAATTCTTTGTTCATGACAGATTAAGAATATACGATCTTTGTGATCCCGTGTCAAATAACAGTCTTACAGCTTCTCCTTTCCATTTATTACGTGAATAAAGAACTTCCTAGTCCTAGAACTAGGAAGTAGTGGAAGTCCGAAGAGTGGAAGTATTTCACCGGCATTCTTAGCATGCCTTCGTGGTGTAGTGTTCAGCACTCTCGGACCGTATCGAGAGGTCCGTGGTTCGAGTCCTGGTGACGGCATCGCTTATTTTTCATCTCTCCTGCTTCGAATTAACTAAATGTCTCTACAATGGCGACTAAACTAAAAAAAAGGTAGTGGATGATGATTCTCTCTGATTGGGTCTCTTAATCCCCAGTCACCCTTTAAAAGGTGGGGTATATTCACCCTTTAAAGGGTGGGTCACACTTTAAAAGGTGGGTTATAAGGTATTTCACCCAAATTCTTAGCATGCCTTCGTGGTGTAGTGGTCAGCACACTCGGCGCGTATCGAGAAATCCGTGGTTCGAGTCCCGACGAGGGCATTGCTCATTTTTCGTCTTTCCTTCTTCGAACTAACCAAATGTCTCAACACCGTTTGCTTCATTAGACACAAACATAATTTCTGTTTGGTTTTGGTTAGACAACGTTACATTTTCATCAACGTGAGAAGTCTCAGAGTTAATTTTCTTATCAACATTAAACAATTCAAGACATACTATAGCCCAATGTTTCGTTTCATATATTACACATCGAATATTAGCCTTGCAGTTTTTTGAATGATGCCCGATTCTAAAACATGTAAAACAGGCGTTATTTTTCATTAAAATATCCTTTTCTTTTTCTCAAAAGACATTTTTTGGCCTTTAAAGCTATCTTGGGAATAATGTGTTTTGCGAAAAAAATACACAAGCAGGTTTCGTAGCTTTAGAAACCCGACACTAGATTATTAGCCGTCGGGACAGAAATTTCGCCTTTTGTGTACTGATTTTAATTTGGAATTTCATTTAATTTAAAACCAACTTTGGATAGAGAAATTCGTTCTTCACCCTCAAGTACACCTTCAACAACAATAACTGGTATAGTTTATCGCCATAAGAGTATTTTTCTTCCTTATTGACTTCATTATGTAAACAAACCCGTAAAAAAGTTTCGGGAATGCATGATTCCATCAATAGGATTAACATGGCAACATACGTGACAGTAGTTACGCCAAAAGCTCTAAAGACCTCAAATGTGACCCCAATCTGTCATACAGCTGCATGATATCCATCTTTGTTTTCACGTTCATAGCATTTTTTACTACCAATGATAGCAGTTCGCGGACATAATACCCCAGAAGTAGCTCTTCGTCGCCAAACCTTGTTTATCAGGCTATCACTAGCTTTTGCATAGTTACCA